CGTCAGGAATGTTCTGCACCTGAACATTTCCAAATCCAGCCTCATCAGGAATGTTCTGCACCTGAACATTCCCATCAAATCCAGCCCCATTAGGAATGTTCTGCATTTCCACATTCCCAAATCCAGCCCCATCAGGAATGTTCTGCACTTCCACATTCCCAAATCCAGCTCCATTGGGAATGTTCTGCATCTCCACATTCCCAAATCCAGCTCCATTGGGAATGTTCTGCATCTCCACATTCCCAAATCCAGCTCCATTGGGAATGTTCTGCATCTCCACATTCCCAAATCCAGCTCCATTGGGAATGTTCTGCATCTCCACATTCCCAAATCCAGCTCCATTGGGAATGTTCTGCATCTCCACATTCCCAAATCCAGCTCCATTGGGAATGTTCTGCATCTCCACATTCCCAAATCCAGCTCCATTGGGAATGTTCTGCATCTCCACATTCCCAAATCCAGCTCCATTGGGAATGTTCTGCATCTCCACATTCCCAAATCCAGCTCCATTGGGAATGTTCTGCATCTCCACATTCCCAAATCCAGCTCCATTGGGAATGTTCTGCATCTCCACATTCCCAAATCCAGCTCCATTGGGAATGTTCTGCATCTCCACATTCCCAAATCCAGCTCCATTGGGAATGTTCTGCATCTCCACATTCCCAAATCCAGCTCCATTGGGAATGTTCTGCATCTCCACATTCCCAAATCCAGCTCCATTGGGAATGTTCTGCATCTCCACATTCCCAAATCCAGCTCCATTGGGAATGTGCTGCACCTGAACATTCCCATCAAATCCAACCCCATCAGGAATGTTCTGCATCTCCCTATTCCCATCAAATCCACTCTGGATTTAAGTAGAGCAGGGATTTTTGGGGGGCTGGAGGGTGATTCCAGGGGTGCATCCCAGTTTTTCTGCCCACGGATCAGGGGTCATGAACGATCCCAGCTCGGATCTCCAAGGCCACTGGTGTTGTGCCGCTGTTTTGTTGTTCCCAAGTCTCCTTTTCCACCTCGGATCCGCGGTTTGCAATCCCCAGCTGCGGGATCGTGGCTGCTCGGGGCCGTGCCGTGACAGAGCCTCGCTGCCAGACGCAGGGGCTGTGAAAACAGTAATTTAGAATCTCCGGGAAGCATTCCCAGCAGGAAAAAGGGAAAAAAAACCCCACCAAACAAATCCCAACTTGCATTTTCCATTAAAACCGGAGGATTTGGGGACGGATTCCTCCCAACAGGGGTCGGGCGCAGCCGGGGTTCGACTCCGCTGCTGGTTTGGGGAAGGATTCTCATTTTGGGATCGTCATTCCGTGATCCCGCGGCGCCGACGGGAGCAGAGTGTGAGTGCATCAGGACGTGGCTCAATCACGGCCCTAATTAGCTCCTGGTGGCTGCTGTGGCTCTCCCATTCCTGGGTTCAATCCCTCTGGGAATATCGATCCCCCGGAGAGTCGCTCTGCGGGGAAGAGTTTCGGAGCCCGGCGCTCGTGGCTTAGGAAAAAATACCAAGGATCGCTTCCAGAGCTCTGGTTTGAAGCAGATTCCGTGGCATTAAATGGGTTTTTAATTGTCTTTTAAATAAATAATACCAGATTCCTGTTTTCTCCGACGGAATGGGGCCCTGGCACAGGTTTCCCAGAATTTGGGGCTGCCCCTTGATCCCTGTGCCCATCCCAAATCCCTGTGGCCATCCCAAATCCGTGTGGCCCATCCCAAATCCCTGTGCCCATCCCAAATCCCTGTGCTCATCCCAAATTTCTGTGCCCATCCTAAATCCCTGTGCCCATCTCAAATCCCTGTGGCCATCCTAAATCCCTGTGCCCATCCAAGTCCGTGTGGCCATCCCAAATTCCTGTGTCTGGCTTGAGACTCGCTGCTCATTCTGGGTGAAATCCGTAGCGCTTTGGTGAACATCGCATGGTTCTTCCATAGAATTCCAGGATGCTTTGGGTGGGAAAGGTCCTGAAATCCCATCCAGTTCCATGGGCAGGGATACCTCCCACCATGCCAGCTTGCTCCAAGCCTTGTCCAGCCTGGCCTGGAACATTTCCAGGGATGAGGATTCCACAGATTGTCTGGAAAAACCATTTCCTGTCCTGTTGGCTGATGCTTTTCCCAGCACCCTTGAAGGACAGCCTTACTCACCGGAGATCCCACAGATTTTCCAGGTGTCCACTGGGATGTCCAGGCTCCCTTTTCCACAGGCAAAGCCCCACTCCAGGTGGTTACTCCCAGAAAAACCTGGAAAACCACAGCTGGCACCTCCATGGGGTGAGGCATCGGGCAAGCTCAGCCAGCTCAGGTTATCCCTGGAATATTTGGAGGGGGAAGGAATCTGCGAGGCAGGACGTGCCCGGACTCCCATCCCGGGAGAAGATCCCGGTGGTTGCCAGGAAGGAGGTGGAGATGGAGTCCCTCGCGAGTCTCTGCCGCGGAAATTTTATGAACTATTAGCAGGTCGTTAATGATGCTGAAAACAACCTCATTTCCACTCAGTTCCGTGCCCGGCGAGCCGTGGCCAAGGGATCTTGGAGGATGCTCGGATGCCGTGTCGGTATTCCAGCGCGGCAGGGCTGAGTCAGAGACGGGGATTTATGGATTTATGGATTTATGGATTTGGTTCTGCCGCGGTCCCGTGCTCGTGTCCGTCCCTCCGGGCCGTGTTTATCCCTGGTGCTTGAGCCGCTTCCCTCTGTCCCCTGCTCCCGGCAGGCTTCCAGAATAGATTTCATTAATTTTTGGGATGCAAATTCCAGGTTTTGGGAGGTTATCAGCAGCTTTCACCACGATTCCAGGGCTCCAAAAGGGGATTAAATTCGCCATTGTCGGAGGATGTGTCACTCAAAGAATGTGGGGGGGAACAGTTCCAAAAAGCCTCCCCTGGCTCCTGGCCGTGGGTTTCCATCCAGGCAGGTGGGATCCCAGCCTCTGTCCTGCTGGATCTGGACCTGGATGAATCCCGCTCTGCCAAGCTCAGCCTGAGCTCTGCCGCAGTTGGATGCGGAATATTTAGCGTTCAATCCCTCTCCTAAAGCTGCAGGGTGGGGAATTCGGCCAGTTCTGCCTTGGAAAGCCAAGGTTTTGGTCTTATTCTTCCAATCCTGCAGGAGAGTTCTCTTGGGATATTTCTTGGAGGGTTTCCTTTCCCTGGAAAACACTGGAAGGGTTCAGCCTGGACAGGTCCCGCCACCTCTGGGGTGTGTTTGGGGCAAATCAGAGCAGAAAAGATTTGGGAAGAGATCCTGCACCATGGAGACTTTCCAGGTGTGTTGGGCACTCCAAGGTTCTTCTCCAGCTCTGGAATTGCTCTCTCCATGAGGACACAGGACCCTGCTCCAGTCCAGGCTTCCCCTCATCCTCCTTCAGGCATCTCCAGACTTTCCCACTGAAGGACATTTTGTGGGAGAAGTTCCTGCCATGGGCGGGGCTGGGGTGACGATGGAGACACTCAGAACCTTGGGACACGGGGACACGCCAGTGCCATCCATGGCTTGGACCCAGAGAGGCAGACCTGGCACCCAACTCCTGCCTCTGAATAGCTCCGGGATTCATGGAAGCACCCCGAGATGGTGCCTTCAAACCCTTCACGTTTTCCAAGGAATGAAGGACAGAGGGGAATTGTCTCAGAGCTCTGGTGGAGGTGGTTTTAAACCATCAGTTCAATTATTTGGTTGTCCTTCACTGAGGTGCTGCTGACCCTTTGTCCAATTTATTTGAGGTTCTGGATGATCTTCCAGAGCCAAAACTCGTGTTTTGTACCCCAACTGCTCTGCTGATGACCCCAGGGGATGTTTTTTGGGCAGATGTTGGTTAAGGTCATGGTCTACTCCAGGCCAGAGGTCAGGAAGAGGGGAATGGATGTGTTTGCTATTTTTGGGCTTTTCCTTGGTTTCAGGCTCCAAAAGCTGAGTGAATTTGCGTCCCTCCGGGGTGTTCTTGGTCCCTGCTGTGATGTCACAGGGACTTTGCTTGGAAGGGAATTTGCTCAGGTGTTCCCCAGTTTGGGATTCCTTGTGGTTTTCCAGGGTCTTCCCAGCTGCTGGAATGGGGGACAGGAGGACATTTCAGGTCTGGGGTTCAGGTGCCTTTTCCAGACCTCAGATTGGAATGGTGGGATGAATCCAAGAGCGGCAGGGGTTGGAAGGGACCTTAAAGACCCTCCAGGTCCAAGCCCTGCCATGGGCAGGAACGTGGGGATGCTGGATGGGAATTTTTTGGGATCTTAAACCGCTCAGGAAGTCTGAAATGCGCGTTCAGGAAACGGCTGAGGGGCATTTTAACCAAACCTGTGTGAGCAGCCACAGCGCATCACCGTGGGCAGGAAAGGGTTACCAGGCCATTCCCTGCCCGTTCCAGCCATTCCTGGAAAGCCCTGGAGCTTCCAGGAGGCTGGAGAGGAATGAAGAGGGGCCGGAGAGCCGAGTCCTCTCCATCCTGTGCCGCCAAAAATGCCAAACCCCTCCTCCCTCCCTGATGAGTAATTACTGCACCTGTGACTAATTAGCTGAGGTGGGAAGGACGCGGAGCTGGGCCTGTCCTGCCTTTCCTGTGGGCAGGAGAGGAAGGGCAGGCAAGAGGCTCTCGGAGAAGGCTCGGAGGAGGAAATTGGATTGTGCCCACTCGAGCAGCTGGAGTGGAGCTGAGCTCATTCCCGACTCCTGGAATGGCTCCGGGGGCTGCAGGGCCCTTCAGCTCCCGCGACGATCCCGCAGCCGGGCCCTTGGCCTTGCTCGTGCCCGGGGTTCGCGTTCCCGTTCCTCCGTGCCGGTTCCTCTCCCTCTCGGAGCTCCCGGCTTCTCCCGGCACGGAGGACGCGGGGCGGAGGGAGCAGCTGCAGCTCTGTAATTAGTCCAGCTGCTAACGAGCCAACGCCCCCGCTCCGGCAGCCGAGCGTGGAGAGGCGCCGAGCTCCTTCCAGCGCCGTTCCTCCGTGCCCAGGCCTGGCTTTTCCAGCTTCGTCCCCAGGGAATTAAACCTCCTTGTTCTCCTCCTCCTCCTCGCAGGTGTCGGCACCAGGAATTACTACAGGAAGATCGGCTACGAGCTGGAAGGGCCCTACATGGTGAAATGGCTGGAATGATGGTCCCGGAGATCCTCATCCTGGAGGAGCAGCAGGAAGGACACGACGCTCATCCCGGGAATAAAGCCCAGGATTTGCTTCTGCCAGAGCACCAGAGTTGGACTTGATGATCCTGGTGGTCCCTCCTAATTCCATGATTTTAGGAAACAGGGCATCATCTCCTCTGGGAGGAGCAGCCCTGGGACATTCCAGGTGTCTCTTCACCTGGGTTAATCCTGCTGCATCCTCGGGATGAGCTCCAGTGGTTGTATTTGAGGGATGAATTTCAGGATTTTGGGGTGTCCTGGTGGGCAAAATGCCTTTTTTCCGCTGCTGTCAGCTTTTCCTGGTTCTGCGCTAAAACGGGGCGTGTCACTCGGGACGGGAATAAATTCTGCGTTTATTTATTTACACCGGGCTCGGCCGCGTCCGTCCATCCCCAGCAATTCCCAAATTTGATCCTTTCCCAGGATCATCTCATCCCAGCGGGAATTGGGGCTGCTCCAGCACCGCCTGCCCGTGGCCGATCCCTCCTGGGCTCAGGAGGGCAGTGCCAGTGGGGATCCAACTTCGCTGCAGCCTCCTGCTTCCCAAATTATCCCGTTCTTTTTCTCCATGGGAAAAAAAAATAGGGGATGGGATTGAAGGTCCATGGATCCCATCCCAAACCTTCCAGGATTGTGGGATCAAGGACATTCAGGATCCATCCCAAGGGATTTTTATGGAATTTGGGGATGGAAAAGGAAAGGGAGACCTTTCCTGGGGTCCAGAATTCCCAGGAAAGCCCCTGGATCCTGAAATTCCTTCCTGGAGAGGAGTTGGGATGGGGATGGATCCAACCCCGGGATGGGAGAGCTGGGAATGGAGGGAATTCCCTGGGAAAGGGAGTTTGGGGTGGGATCTTGGGAAGGAATTCCCAGCTGGGAGGGTGGGGAGGCCCTGGAAAAGAATCCCAAGGAAAAGTTGGAGCACCCTGGGATCGTGGGATTGGAATGGGGTGGGATTTAGGGCAGTTGTTCACCCAAACCACCCCTGGTTTTGGGGAGAGGAAGGCGGATCCTGGAGATCCTCAGGTTCTCCTCATGGATCTCCTTGGAGATGGGCTGGAATTGCCTTTCCCATCAGGAATTATCCAATTAAACCTTCCCAGCACCTCCCTCCTCCCACCCAGGGAGGGCGGGTGTCCTTTGCCCTCCACAATTCCAGAGTTCCGGAACATTCCCACGCTTGACCTCAATCCAGGAGCGAGCGCCCGGAGCTCCGACCTTTTCCACCTCTTTTTTATGGGATTTCAATCAAAAGCGGGGCGGAAACCCAGCGGGGCCGGCGACATTTCAGAAATAAATGACTCTGTCAGGAGCCTTCGGAAGCTTTGCCGGCAGCAAGGGCTTGGACACGTGGAAAAAAACGGGAAGAGGAGGCGGAATTCCACGAGGAAGGCTCGCGTGGGGTCGTGGGCGCCAAGAGACAACAAAAAATCCAGGGATAAAGTTGTGACGATCCAAGGAAAACTGGCGATCCTGTGGGGAGGGAAAACCCCACACGGCGAGCTTCAAACCCGCGTCGGGTTTAAATCCGGATCTCCTCAAGCCGGGATTTGTCGCGGCGGGATTTTTCCACCCCCTGGAAAAAGTGCCACGCTCGACCTTGGGAGGAGAAGCAATTCCTGCTGGGAACGGGTGAAATCTTCCGGAACGTTCGTCGTCCTGTCACGGCTGACACAATTACGGACGGCGCTGACGTCGGAGCCGTGACAGCCGCCCGGCCTTCCCTGGGGCAAAAACGGGGAAAATTGGATTCATTCCCTCTTTCATTCCATCTGAACCCAATCCATCCGCAGCTCCACCACCAAATAAAGCAGTTCTGTCCTCTGGGGTTATTTTTAGCTCCCCGTTTCCCAGCAGGAGCGCTCCGGGTTTGTCCGCACGGGCTCGGGGATGTTGGGAAGTGCCGTGGGTTCCTCTGGAAGGGCAGGGAAGCAGGGCTGGAAAACACTTCCCCTTAAAATTGGGGAAAAATTCCGATTTCAAGCTCCCCTGGGGACACCCTGAGGGGTTTTCCTCATATCCTGCACGAGGAGACGCTCCAAGGGATTTTCCAGCTGGTTTTTTTGCCAGCACTCTGGAATTTTGGGTGATTATTGAAGGTTTTTGCTCCGTGAGAACAATAATTCCGACTCTTAGGAATTTCTGTCTGTAGGAGTATCAGCCTGGAGCTGCTGACAGCCAAATTCCAGCCCCTCCTCCTCCCTTTGTGATGGAAAAAAGTTGATTTTTCACACAAAACCTCCCACAAGGCTTCAAAACATGAGGTGGTTTGGGCAGGTGAGAAATGTGGAAAAGGGAAAAAAAATAAAGGAAAGGAAAATGGAAAAGGAAGAAAAAAGGGGAAAGGGAAAGGGAAAGGGAAAGGGAAGGAAAGGAAAGGAAAGGAAAGGAAAGGCAAGGGAAAGGAAAATGGGAAAGGAAAATGGGAAAGGAAAGGAAAATGGGAAAGGAAAGGAAAATGGGAAAGGAAAGGAAAATGGGAAAGGAAAGGAAAATGGGAAAGGAAAGGAAAATGGGAAAGGAAAGGAAAATGGGAAAGGAAAGGAAAATGGGAAAGGAAAGGAAAATGGGAAAGGAAAGGAAAATGGGAAAGGAAAGGAAAATGGGAAAGGAAAGGAAAATGGGAAAGGAAAGGAAAATGGGAAAGGAAAGGAAAATGGGAAAGGAAAATAATGGGAAAGGAAAAAACAAGGAAAGACAAAAAGGGAAATGGAAAAAATGGGAAAGGAAAAGGGGAAAGGAAAGGAGAAAAACAGAGAAAAAAGGGGAAGGAAAAGGGGAAGGGAAGAGGAAAGAGGAAGGGAAAGGGGAAGAAGGAAAATGGGCAAGGAAAAGGGGAAAGGAAAAGGAAAATGGGGAAGAAAAGGAGAAAAAAGGGGAAGGGAAAGAGGAAAATGGGAATGGAAAAGGAAAATCCTCTCCATGGGTTTGTGCCCCGCTGCTTCCACCAGAGCCTGCAGCAGGGAAAACCCAAATTTCCAACCAAAGCTCCCCATCCCCGCCCTCCACACGGAATTTTGGGGAGCAGCTCCTCCTCCCCTCTGGAAGAGCTCAGCCCCTCGGATCCTTCCCTCCAGGGAAACCAAATCTATCAGAAATCCATCCAAAATCCATCCAAAATCCACCAAAAATCCACCAAAAAACCACCAAAAATCCATCAAAAATCTACCAAAAATCCATCAAAAATCTACCAAAAATCCATCAGAAATCCATCAAAAATCCACCAAAAATCCATGAAAATCCATCAAAAAATCAACCAAAAATCCATTAAAATCCACAGAAAATCCACCAAAAATCCACCAAAAATCCATGGAAATCCATCCAAAAATCAACCAAAAATCCATCAAAAATCCACCAAGAATCCATCAAAAATCAACCAAAAATCCATCAAAAATCAACCAAAAATCCATCAAAAATCCACCAAAAATCCATCAAAAAATCCATCAAAAATCCAATTAACCACCAAAAAAACTCCAAGGAAACACCAAAACAACTCCAATTAAACACCAAAAACCCTCCAATTAAACACTGAAAAATTCCAATTAAACACCAAAAAAAATTTCAAATTAAACATCAAAAAACCTCCAATTAAACACGGAAAAATTCCCATTAAACACCAAAATACCTCCAGTTAAACACCAAAAAAAATTCCAAGTAAACACCAACAAAAAAATTGTGATTAAACACCAAAAAACCTCCAGTTAAACGCTATAAAAATCCCAATTAAACACCGAAAAATTCCGATTAAACACCAAAAAACCTCCAATCAAACCCAGATTCCTTCAGCAAAGGAACAGAAACATAAAACCACCAAATTTGGGATAAAATCAGATTTTTTTGGTGGGAGTTCCCCTCTGAGAGTGACTGTACAAATAAATAAAGTTTTGTCCGTGAAACGGGAGCGGAGAAATCTGAATTTCCCGATGGAAAAACCTCTGGATTTTCAGGTGGACAATTCTGGCACCTCCAGAACTTCCAGATCCCGCTGGGATTCCATCCCTGAGGAGGAAAAGCACCAAAAATCCAAAATAAATTGATAAGTTCATATTGATTGATTAATAAAAATTTAATTTTGATTATCCCATGGAAATTTAGAGAAGAGCCCGGGGAGATTCCCTTGGGAAAAATTCCGAGTTTTATCCAATTTCTGAGGTTTAAATTCATGGGAAAAAAAAATCCAATTTTTAGGGTTTTTAAGCCCAGAATGGTTTGGGGGAACCAAGATTTCAATCCCACCCCATCCCAATCCCAAAATTCCAGGTGGCTCCAACTTTTCCTGGGACACTCCCAGGGATTCTCTGGGAATTCCTTCCCAAATTTGAGGGGTTTTTTGGGAGAAATTTTTTTTTAATTTGATGTTTTCTTCAGGATTTGGGTTTTTTAAGGGAGGAATTTGGAGGATTTTTTGGGATTTTGGGGTTTTTGGGATTTTGTGGGTTTTTTTGGGGGGGATTTTGTGGTTTTTTTGGGATTCCTTCCCAAATCCCACTTCCCCTTTCCCAGGGAATTCCCTCCATTCCCGGCTCTCCCAGCCTGGGGTTGGATCCATCCCCATCCTGAATCTTCTCTGGGAAGGAATTTCAGGAATTCCCTGGGAATTTTGGGGCTCCACTTCTCTTTTCCATCCCCAAATCCCATAAAAATCCCTGGGGATGGATCCTGAGTGTCCTGGATCTCAGAATCCTGGAATGGTTTGGGATGGGATCCATGGACCTTCAATCCCATCCCATCCCACCCCACAATTCTGGGATTTTCCAGCTTTTCCAGGGAATTCTGGTGCTTTACAAGATGAAGAAACTCCTCTGGAATAAACACAGGGATTTTTGGAGGTGGAGGAAGCGACCAAAAAACCCTGGAGAGGAGGAAAAGCTGGGGAAAAAAAAAAAAATCAGATTTCCAACCCAGCCTTTTCCAAGATATCCTTGAATAGCTTTCCACGGCAGAAAATTCCAGAGGGAAGCTCCAAACACTGAGAGTGTTGTAATTAAAATAATCAAATTTAGTTGATTTAAGTAAATCAATCAATTTGAGTTGTTCTCACAGAATTTGGGTGAACAGCCACAAATAATCAGGAATTTTTTCCTCCCCTTTCCAACTTCTCTTCACCCATTAAGGAGGCAAAAAATTCTTAAAACTCAGCAATACTTTGGTCAAAAATGCTGAAAACTCAACTGAACTTTTGCCAAAAATCCTTAAAACTCAACCAAACTTCTGTCAAAAATGTCTTAAAACTACTTTGGTCAAAAATCCTTAAAATTCAACCAAAATTTTGCCAAAAATCCTCAAAAATCAATCAAACTTTGGTCAAAAATCCTTAAAACTCAACCAAACATTTGACAAAAATGCTTAAAACTACTTTCGTCA